AACCATAAGTCTGTCCTCCCGTTGAGAAGTACATCCCGTTGGCTTGAAACATTTTCTTAGAATTGTTGGAAGAATTATCTAGTGGGCATGCTTGCTCTTCTCCCTGGCTTGTCTGATTTTTCTTACAGGGACGAGTTGGAGGAAGCCTGGGAGAATAAAGTCCTCTTACTGTTTTTTTTAATCAAGAAGTATTATTATTTTTAATATTGTTATTATTATTGTTAGGTACCACTGAGTCAGCTCTGACTCATAGCAACCCTATGTACAGCAGAACAAAACACTGCCCGGTCCTGTGCCAGCTTCATGATCCTTGCTATAATTGAGCCCATTGTTGCAGCCACTGTGTCCATCCATCTTGTTGAGGACCTTCTCCTTTTTCATTGACCCTCCATTTTACCAAGCATGATTTCTCCAGGGAATGGTTCCTTCTGACATGACCAAAGTAGGTGAGATGAAGTTTGGCCATCCTCACTTCCAAGGAGCATTCCAGATGCATTTCTTCCAGGACACAATTGTTCATTCTTCTGGCAGTCCATGGTACTTTCAAGTATTCTTCTCCACCACCACAACTCAAAAGCATTGACTCTTCTTCGGTCTTCTTTATTCATTGTTCATCTTTCACGTGCATATGAAATAAGTGAAAATACCATTGCTTGGGTCAGGCGCACCTTAGTCTTCAAGGAGATACCTTTGCTCTTCAGCACTTAAAAGAAGTCGTTTGCAGCAAATCTACCCAATGCAATACGTTGTCTGATATCTTCACTGCTGCTTCCATTGGTATTGATTGTAGAACCAAATAATAATACGAAGTCTTTGACAACTTCAGTCTTTTCTCTGTTTATCGTGATGCTGCTTATTGGTCCGGTTGCGAGGATTTTTGTTTTCTTTATATTGAAGTGTAATCTACACTGCAGGCTGCAGCCTTCAATCTTCATCAGTAAATGCTCCAAGTCATCCTCTAAGCAAGCCAAGTTGTATCGTCTGCATGTCGCAGTTTGTGAAGAAACATTAGGCAGTCTTTTCATTATCAAAGCCTTTCTGGGCTTACTTATTTTGAAACCAAGTTAGGTTGTTGTCTCTAGTTCCTAATGAGTTGGATTCATGATAGTGACCAGAAACAGATTCCCAACCCTGTCCTCTGAGGATCCTCTGTTGTTGTTGTTATGTGCCGTTGAGTTTGGACCTGACTCATAGCGACCCCTCCTTGGGTTTCCGAGGCAGTATCACTACGGAAGTAGATTGCCCCATCTTCTTTCTGAGGAGTGGCTGGTGGGTTTGAACCACCAGCCTTCTGGTTAGCAGTCAAGTGCCTTAGACACTACGGTAGCAGAGCTCCTGAGGATCCTCTAGTGGGTCCAAATCACCAACTTTCCAGCCAGTACTCAACCATTTGTTCCACTCAGGAAGTCAGGGGCAGGAGTAGATTTTCTGTCCTATTGATTGAAAGGAAAACTCCTACATGCAACTGAGCACCATGGCCTTGCCAAGCTGGACATTCAAACATATATTCAGGTATGCGATGGTATTTTCCAAAAATGGCCACAACAGTATTTCCTGGCCCATATGCTTTTCCTCCCTTTTCAAGAGGGAAAGTCTATGTTTCCTCCCTTTGAACCTGGGTGGGCATTTGTGATTGCTTTGTCATATAACATACAATGGAAGTAATGCTATGTGACTTCTGAGACTAGGTCATAAATTTCAACATGGCTTCCACCTGTCTCTTTCTATTAGGACGCTTGCCCTTGGAATGCAGCCACCGTACTGTGAAGACACTCAGACCATGTGGAATAGCTTAAGTGAAGAGAAACTGAGGCCCCTAGCCCTGGCTGAGCTACCACTAAGAGTCAGCTTCAACTTGCTGACCATGTGAGTAAGTCATCTTGAAAACGAACCTTTCCCTACTGAGCTCTGCCCAGACTACAGATCAATCAAGTCAACGTTTTTGGAGGCTTGTTATATGTCAAGGTCCCTGGGTGGTGCAAATGGTTTGCACTCATCTACTAACCTAAAGGTTGATGGTTTTAATCTACCCAGTGGGACCATGGAAAAAAAGGCCTAGAGATCTGCTTTTGTAAGATTACAGCCAAGAAAACCCTATGTGGCAGTTCTACTCTGTAACACATGGGGTCATCGTGAGTCAGAATCAATCAAAGGCAATAGGTTTTTTTGGTTTTGTTTTTGTTACGCAGTAATAGATAACAGCAACAAGTAGGGATGAAGAGTCCTCTGGATATTCACAATTCAGTGTGAACTCGTCGAAGACCATTTATTTCCTAGGTGGTCATTTCAGAACACAGATTTACATAGGGAAGCATGGCAAACCAAGGTAAAGAAGGTAATTTTCACAAGTTGTAATATGATGCAAATGAGAGTCTGACTCCCGAAGGGCAAAATAAAGCTGCTTTGATTTTCCCTCTGATTTGTTTGATTGGGCCAACCTTAGAAGAATAGGTTTTTTCCCTAACTTTCCCTCTCTGCTAGCAGAAATCCACATAGATAAGATTGCTTTCAGGGAGGCATTTCTACATTCCATTTCCTAGAACACGGAGGCTGCTTGAGGAGCCCCCAGAGAACCCAACGCTTGCTTTCTCCCAGCCCAGGGGACTGTGCTTCTGAAATGCTCCTGGCAGAGCCAGAGGCTTGAGTTGTTTTGGGCTCTGCCTGTGTATTCTTGGTGGCCAGGGTCTGGTCCTGCCAACCTTTTTACTTAGGTTGTTGTTGTGTCGTTGGGTGCTGTGGAATCAGTTCTGCTTCACAGCGACCCTTTGGACAACGGAAGGAAACACTGCCCAGTCCTGTGCCATCCTCACAATTGCTGGTATGTTTGAGCCCACTGTTGCAGGCACTGTGTCGATCCATTTAGTTGAGGGTCTTCCTCTGTTTGGCTGACTCTCTACTTTACTAAGCATGATATTCTTCTTAGTGACTGGTTCTTCCTGATAACATCCAAAGGACATAAGACAAAGTCTCCCTAACAAGGAGAACTCTGACTATACTTCTTCCAAAATAAATTTGCTCACTTTTCTGGCAGTTAATTTTTGTTGTTGTTGTTATGTGCCGTTGAATCGGAACCGACTCATAGCGACCTCTCCTTGGGTTTCCAAGGCAGTATCACTATGGAAGTAGATTGCCCCATCTTCCTTCCGAGGAGTGGCTGATGGGTTTGAACCACCAGCCTTCTGGTTAGCAGTCAAGTGCCTTAGGCACTATGCTGCTACCAGAGCTTCCATAGTACGTTCAATATTCTTTGCCAACACCATAATTCAAAGGCATCAATTCTTCTTTGGTCTTCCTTACTCATTGTCCAGTTTTTGCATGCATATAAAGCAATTGAAAACACTAAATCTTAGGGGGTGCGGGAGAGAAAATACCAAGGCTTTGGGTGGCATACCTAAGTCCTCAAGTGACAACTTTGCTCTTTAACACTTTATAGAGGGTTTTTTTTTTTTTTTTCCTCAGCAGATTTGTCCAATGCAGTAAGTCATTTGATTTCTTGACTGCTGTTTCTTTTGGTGTTGATTGTGGATCCAAGTAAAATGAAATCCTGGAAAATGTCAATCTTTTCTCCATTTATCATGATGTTGCTTATTGAGCCAGTTGTGAGGAATTTATTTATTTATTTTTTTATGTTGAGGTATAATCCATGCTGAAGGCTGAAGTCTTTGATCTTTATCAGTGAGTGCTTCAAATCCTATTTGCTTTCAACAAGCAAGGTGGTGTCATCTGCATATTGCAGACTGGTAATGAATCTTTCTGCAATCTTGATGCTGTGTTATTCTTCATATAGTCCAGCTTCTTGGATTATTTGCTCATCATACGGATTGAATGATATAACCCCGACACACACTTTTTCTGATTTTAAACTATGCAGTACCCCCTTGCTCTGTTGAATGACTGTCTCTTGGACTATGTACAGCTTCTGCATGAGCACAAGTAAGTGTTCTGGAATTCCCATTCTTTGCAAAGTTACCCATAATTTTTATGATCCACACAGGTGAATGCCTTTGTATAGTCAATAAAACACAGGCAGATATCTTTCTGGTATTCTTTGCTTTCAGCCAAGATCCATCTGACATCAGCAATGTTACCCCTCGTTCCACATTCTCTTTTGAATCCAGCTTGAATTTTTGGCAGTTCTCTCCTGATGTACTGCTGAAACTGTTTTTGAATTATCTCCAGCAAAATTTTACTTATACGTGAGATTAATGACATCCTTCAATAATTTTTGCGTTCTGTTGGATCACTTTTCTTTGGAATGGGCACAAATATGGATCTCTTCCAGTCAGTTGGCCAAGTAGATGTCTTCCAAATTTCTTGGCATAGGCAAGTGAGTAACTTGTTTGGATCTTCTCAAATTTAGAAACTGTATAGTGAGTTAAAAATAGTTCACATTTGTGTACTTTTTCTTCCTTTCATCCCTGCTTCAAGGGCTGTTCAGTAATTTGGGCCCATCTCTGACATTAGCCAGAGAAATTGTAGCTCTTGTGACCTAAGGGTCAGCTAGGCCAAAACAAAACTCATTTTCAAATGGGTCTTGGGGAGATACTAGTCCTATAACTGAGCAGAGTTACTCATTATCCTACATAGTAAGTTCCAGAATTAAGAGCAACGGCTCTCACTAAGATTTTTCATTGCATATGGATTCACGTTAAGTAAAAATGTGGGCCATGAGGAGAAAAGATTTCAACAGTACTATCCAGAAAACTGTGCCCTCAGTTTTACACTGTACATATTGATCAGAAATGATCATAGTGCCTAAGGTTAGAAGAAGCTATGTGAGACTAGTGAGAGACTAAATGAACAAACAGACAAGAAGCTGTATGAGACTGGAATGGCAGGGGCTGTTTATAACAAAGAGTTAAAGAAAGATCAGACCTGGTTTTAGAAGCACCAAAATATTGAACATCTGTACAGCACTCGCTGGGTCAATGGTGTGCCAGCATTTCCATGCCCAGCAAAGAAAGCATTTGCTCAGGATTACCTCTGCATGGTTACTTTACCTTCATGAACATGCTAAATCCAGTTTTAAGGAGATCAGTGAGGCCTGAAGACATGTGTTCAATATCAACGGGATCTGGCTTCTCTGGATTAAATATTTCCTCCACAACTTGTTTCAGCAATGGCTTATAGGAGGCCTGGAAAGACAAAATTTTGTGCTGTAAGTAAAAGGGTTGGTTTGTTTTGTCTATGGAGAAAACAGGTTTATCTGCATCAAAGGAAGCAAAACAAGTTTACTTTGATACTGAGCAATGGCTGTGATTTTCTGTGTGTGAAACAGACAACATAATGAGCCCTGAAGGCATCGTGGTTAAGCACTCAGCCACTAACCAAAAGGTTAGGGGTTTGAACCCACAGCCCTTCCATGGGAGAAAGATGTGGCAGTTTGCTTCTGTAAAGGTAACAGCCTTGGAAACCCTGTAGGATAGACATTTCCACTCTGTCCTATGGGGTTGTTATGAGTTAGAATTGACTCGATAGCAATGGGTTTGATTTTTGGTAACAGACAATATAAAAACACCAGTTTTTCATCAATTTTCATCTCAATCCTTTAGCACTATTTTGTTTCTCATAGTCCCTCCTACAAGCAAATGTCTTTTACTAGAGCTGTAACCATGGTATGGCTAATTTTTCAATCTAGAATTAAAGTGATAATTTTATGCATGCAGTACACTGAAAAGCACAGTATTGTTATTTAATATAGACATGAGGACAGTCTCAAATTTTTCCTGAACATCCTTAGAATTACAGTCCCCTTTGCTAGGAACTTGAATGTTTCCTTATATTACAGCTATCAGTTTCCAAGCCTAAAAGCAGAATCAAATCTGCTGGCTTCTAATTGGTTCCAACTCATGGTGATCTGATACCACGCTTTTCTTCATATAGTCAAAACGTGGTATCAGGATTGGAGGAAGAATCATTAACAACCTGAGATATGCAGACGATACAACTTTGCTTGCTGAAAGTGAGGATGACTTAAGGCACCTACTGATGAAGGTTGAAGAATACAGTCTGCAGTATGGATTACGTCTCAATATAAAGAAAACAAAAATCCTCACAACTGGACCAATGAGCAGCATCACAATAAATGGAGAGAAGATTGAGGTTGTCAAGGAATTCACGTTGCTTGGTTCTACAATCGATGCCAACGGGAGCAGCAGTCAGGACATTAGACGACGTGTAGCACTGGGAAAGTCAACTGCGAAGGAACTGTTTCAAGTGCTGAGGAGCAAGGATATCTCCTTGAGGACTAAGGTGCGCCTGACACAAGCCATGATATTTCCAATCGCCTGGTATGCATGTGAGAGCTGGGCAATGAATAAGGAAGACCGAAGAAGAGTTGATGCTTTTGAGTTGTGGTGCTGGCGAAGAATGCTGAAAGTACCATGGACTGCTGAAAGAACTAACAGATCTGTCCTGGAGGAAGTGCAGCCAGAATGCTCCTTGGAAGCAAGAATGGCCAGACTTCGTCTCACCTATTTTGGTCATGTTGTCAGAAGGGACCATTCCCTGGAGAAGGATGTCAGGCTTGGTAGGGTGGAGGGTTGACGAAAGAGAGGGAGGCCTTCAATGAGATGGATTGACACAGTGGCTGCGATGATGGGCTCAAGTATAGCAGGGATTGTGGGGCTGGCGCGGGATCGGGCAGTGTTTTGTTCTGCTGTGCATGGGGTCGCTATGAGTCAGAAACAACTCGACGGCACTTAACAACAACATGGTGATCTTGTGTGTCACAGAGTAGAACTGCTCCTTAGGGTCTTCTTGGCTGTAATCTTTATGGATCAGTTCACCTGGTCTTTCTTCCATGAAGCCGCTGGTGGGTTCAAACTGCCAGCCTTTGGGATAACAGCTGATTGCAAACCACTTGCACCACTCAGGGTCCTATCCAAGCCTAAAGCAATCCCTATTTCCTTATGGAGATCAACTGCTAGTGTGACTTGGCCAGAAAAAGAAGCCAAGGTGCCAAAAAGGAATCTGACCTAGGTCAGGGCTTAGAGAATGCAGGTCCCATGGTGCTGTAAGAATTTCAGTAGAATCAGGGTGATGTTAGTATGCAGTGACTCCTACATTTGATAAATGGTGCTAAATGTTTTCCTTTTCTGTGACCTGAATAACCCACACATTGAGGTTAGATTTGGAGGCAGCTGCTTTTTTGACCACTGAACTTTCTTTTTTAAAAAATTATGATTTGGGCAAAAGTTTACAGAGCAAACTGGCTTTCCATCCAACAATTCATACATATTTTGTTTCATGTCATTGACTGCAATCCCCACAACATAACAGCACTCTTCCCACTTCCTCCCTGTGTTTACCACTTCCCTTGGCTCTTCTTACCTATCCCTTCCTGCCTTCTGAGCGTTAGCCTTGGGCAAATGCTTCCCTTTTGATCCTGTGTGGTTGATTGTTCTAATGAGTGCATACCTTCCTGGTGTCATTGTTCACCTTGTAGGATCTTTTACATTTGGCTGCAAGTTGAGCCATGGGGGTGAGTTCAGTTCCAAGCCCAAAGGATGGCTTCTTAGGGGTCTCACCAGTCTCTATCTTAACAGTAGAAGCCTGGTCATTTTTATGATTTGAGTTTTGTTCCACATTTTTCTCCCACTCTATCCGGGACCTTCTATTGTGATCCATTTCAGAGTGGTAAGCAGTGGTGGCAGGGTACCATCTAGTTCTGATAACAGGGTCATGGAGGCTGGTGTTTACATGGTCCATTAGTCCTCTGGATTGTTTCCTTGTCTTTTTGGGTCTCTTCACTCTTTTTTGCTCCAGATGAGGAGAGACCAATAGTTGCACCTCAGATGGTCACTCACAAGCTTTTAAGACCCCAGTCACTACTCACTAAAGTAGGATGTACAACATGGTCTTTGTGGACTATGTTATGCAAATTGACCTTGATGTCGCTAAAGACTATGAGCCTAACCCCTAGGCCCAGTGACTCATTCCCTCAAGGTTTTTGATTATGTATAAGAAGTTTTCATAACTTTATGCTCTGTATGCTGTACTATATTCATGGATATATTTGCAGCACATATAGATATATATGTAGAAATATCCTCTGTCAAACCTATATATATTCATAGGTGTAGTCCCATTTGCCTTCCCACCCCTGTTCACCTTGAGTGTCTATCTATGTATCAACTTGTATGTTATTGTTATTACTGTTATTGCAGGATTGCGTATATAATGGTATTTACCTTTGTTGCCTGTGCTCCTCCCAGTACCTTCCTTTGCCTTGATCATTTTGTGCTGACCTCCCCCTTGGTGTATATTGCCTTTCCTTTCACCCAAGTTAATGTGTGTGTACCCTTTAGTTAGTGATTTACCCTCCCATTCCCCCACCCTGGTAACCTCTAAGGAATTATTCTTTCTTTGTATAATCCTTTTCTTGACTATTTACAGTAGTAGTCTCATACAATATTTGTCACTTTGTGATTGACTAATTTCATTCAGCACAATTTTCTCTAGGTTCATCCATGTTATGAGGTGTTTCACAGATTCATTGTTATTCTTTAACATTGCACAGTATTCCATTGTGTGGATGTACCATAGTTTGTTTATTCATTCATTGGTTGATGGGCATTTAGGTTGTTTCCATCTTTTTGCTATTGTGAATAATGCTGTGATGAACATGGGTGTGCATATATCTGTTCATGTCATGGATATTATTTCTCTAGGATATATACCTAGTAATGGGATTGCTGGACCACATGATATTTCTATTTCTAAATTTTAAAGGATGCATCATATCATTTTCCACAGTGGTTGTACCATTTCACAGTCCCACCAGCAGTGTATGAAGGTCCCAGTCTTTCCACTCCTTCACCAGTATTTGTCTTCTGTTTCTTTGACCTTTGCTATTAATGCTAGGGTGAGATGATATCTTACTGTTGTTTTGATATGCATCTCTCTGATGGCTAATGATTGTGAGCATTTCTTTATGTGTTTGTTAACTGCCTGAATGCTGACTTTGGTGCAGTGTCTGCTCACATCCTCTGCCCATTTTTCATTTGGATTGTTTGTCTTTTTGTTGTTGAGGTGACGACATTTTCTATAAATTTTAGAGATTAGTTCCTTGACAGCTATACTTTTGCCAAAAATTTCCTCTGTGGGTTTCTGAGGCAGTATCACTTGGAAGTAGATTGCATAACCTTCCTTCTGAGGAGTTGCTGGTGGGTTTGAACTGCCAGCCTTCTGGTTAGCAGTCAAGTGCCTTAGGCACTACGCAACCAGAGCTCCTTTAGGTGGTTAATATTTTCCTGATTTTCTTTTCAGAGTTCTCTTTTTAGTATAGAAGAATCTGACTAATTGTTGTATGTTGATTTTGTACCCTACTACTTTGCTGAATCCTTCTATTAGTTTCAGAAGTTTTCTTGTTGAGTCTCTAGGCTTTTCTATGTATAGAATCATATCTGAAAATAGAGACAGTTTTACTTCTTCTTTTTTTTTGTTGCCAATTTGGATGTCTTTTATTTCCCTTTCTTGCCTATTGCTTTGGGTAGGACTTCCCAAACAATCTTGAATAGGAGTGGTCATAAAGGGCATCCTTGTCTGGTTCCCGTTTGCAAGGGGAATGTTTTCAGTCTCTCACCATTGAAAATTATGTTAACTATTGATTTTGTGGATATGCCCTTAATTATGTTAAGGAATTTTTCTTCTATTCCTATTTTGTTGAATGTTTTTTTACCAAGAATGGGTGTTCGATTTTGTCAAATCCCTTTCTGTATCGATTGAAATGATCATCTGGTTCTTTTCCTCTGTTTTATTTATATGGTACACTAACGCTGATCATTTTTCTAATGTTGAACCATCCTTGCATACTTGGTATGAATACCACTTTGTTATGATATAGTATACGTATATTTTTATATGTTATTGGATTTTATTGGCTAGGATTTTGTTGAGAATTTTTGCATCAGTGTTCATGAAGAACACTGGTCTATAATTTTCTTTTGTAGTGATGTCTTTGCTTGGTTTTTATATCAGGCTTATGCTTGTTTCATAGACTGAATTTGGGAACATTCCATCCTATTTTATGTTGTAGAATAGTTTGAGTAGGATTGGTGTCAGCTCTTCTCCGAAAGTTTGGTAGAATTCATCAGTGAATCTGTCTGGGCTGGATTTTTGTTGTTGTTGGCAA